ATTCTCCATCATATCCCATAGATCCACGGCCATGACTGAAGTCTTCATCTTCACACACCAAATATCATAGTTTTGGCCATCAAAAATTGGAACTAAGGAGTGCTTTAAACTTCCACTTGAACCACTTGTGCTTGCCATTTTAATTTCAGTAAAAACCCTCCTTTTTTATCCCTTGATTCAATTTTTTTTTCGTTGTTGCAGTAGAGAACGAACCAGACCTGGAGGAGCTCTGATACCAATAATGTTGGTTGTTTTTACAGCTTTGTGGACCTGCAATGCCTAGAGATAACAGCAAAAATGTACCAACAGCAAGAAGGGAAGAAGAAGGACAGTAAAATCAGTGATGTAGGGAAAAACAGGGGTGTTGGGAAGAACAGAGGTGCTGGAGATGCAGAGGAAAAAACAGAGGTACTGGGAAGAAAAAGAAAACGTGTGAGACTACTGCAAATCTGATTTCTTCTGTCTTTTGTACAACAACATTTTTACATTATAAAATGTGAAATTTAAACCTACTACAATACATAAAATCAAACATACACTTGTCTATTTTACAGCCCTTGGATTCGACAAAATAAAGAAATATTTCTTTGACTTTCAAAACACATTACACATCAACATTCATCAATCCTTATGGACAATTTTTGAGTCTTCTGAACTGGTCCATTCTTCCTTCTTTGCATATAAATTGCGAAATAAATGGTGACCTTTTAGGTGAATCATTGTCAATACTCTCATCTTCCGATGAAAGGTCAGAATCTTTGAGCGATTCTAGTTCCATAGACTCGTTTTCTTCCTTCATGGCCAAAATGTAATCATATGTTGAAATCCCCTTTTTTATGAGAATTAAGTGAAATAAAAAGAGCTGTCCAAATATTGCCGTGCTATAGGCGGTCACAGCCACCAACAAAACTGATATGGCTACAAGAACTCCTCTTGGGAATTTCACATAGTGTCTTCTGTTTAGCTCCTGTTGTATTCCTATTTTATCTACAAAGCACCTGACGAATATTGCAATAGCAGTTCCTCCTTCCACGATGAGCATTATCAAGACAGAAATCAGCAGAAGAATGAAGGCAGTGTAATTCTTTTTCCCAACACAGTTGTTCAACCACCTGCAGTGATGATCAAATCCCTCAACACAACGATTGCAAGTCCTGCAGTGCTTGCTGTGCTTTTTGACCTCAAAATCACAAAGTCAATAGCTGTACATCTAATAAACAGCACAGCAGTAGAAACTGCTGCGAAGGAGAAGACTGTGATGAAGGTAATCTCGGCAATTTTGTTGCTGAGGAAAATCCCGAGGAAGCAATAGAATGAAGCTACAAGGAAACATAAAACTGATATTTCCACAATCTGTAAAGGGTGGAGAGGGCGTTGCCAGCCATGGCGTCTTGCGGTTATTGAGAGGTGCATAGTCGTCGAGCTTAGGGAGAAAATCGAACTCTCACAATTTAAAATCCGAACAAGTATTGACTAGACATATTGTCTTGATGATATAATCTGGAAATTATATTTATAATTTAAAATTTGACCAAGTAATCTTGTCAACTTCAAGTTGCGAACGTCATTGACAAGCATTGACATTGATATTTATCGAAAATTTGGAATGTAGATTTATTAGCATTGACTAGAAATATTGTCTTGATGATATAATCTGAAAATTAGGTTTATAATTTAAAATTTGACCAAGTAATCTTGTCAACTTCAAATTGCGAATATAATGCAATCTTATAATAAATGTATCTATTAGATACAAATTATATCTAGATGGTCAACATGGAGAGTTATGGGCATACATATTTCATCCTAATTAATTTTCAAAATTATAAGGATTAGTCTCAACTTGAGATAGCGATGGTAGTGATCAATTGAAATAAACATTATATGTGAATTAATTGGATTGAAAAATATTTTGGTTCTTAATTAATTTTCAATTTTTTCTCACATCATTGTTGATTTGAAAGATCTAACCAGTCATGCCAAATAATAAAACCAAAACTTCTGGTTTAATATAAGATCCGTTGCAATTATACTAATATTAGTATAATGTACTAAGTAACATTGATTTTAGAAACTTTAAAAGTTTCTTTTATGTTTAGTTGAAAACAAATTACTAGCATAAAATGTATCTCCCTATATCACTTAATACTGGCTCTTCCGAAGATTTCATAAAGTTTTCATGAAATATCAAATCAATTCGTTTGATATTCTTCAAGAATGATTCATTGAAGATTGAGATATTGAGATTGTGCTTCTTCAAGAGCATTGACATTATTTGATATGATCTAGGAGTCTAGCCCAACGAGGACAAGCCCGGGATGAGATCCATTGATTATCGAAGGAGGCCCGATGACACGTTCGAGGGCAAAACGGTGAAAGAGGCAATGAGATTGCTTGCTCAATCTATGGTTGATGAAGTTTCAAAGTTAACAAGTCAAAGAACAAGTTTCATGTTGGGTTTGGAAGAAGAAACCAAATGGATCAACTCGACTCAAGTAGTAAACAAGCAGCATGGATGAAAACGGGCATAACTTTCAGCTCGGTTGTCGGATTTTTGCCCATGAGTACATTGCGAAAATGACACGAAATTCTACACAATGCTTCATGGGTGCATTGTACTTTTGGGCTTTCGATTGCACAGAAACATGCTGAGAACATTTTTGCGAGAACTTTAATTTTCTTGCGAATTTCCTTCTTAGACTAGAATTCTATTTTCTTTCTAATTTTACAATATTTTTTAACCTAATTAAGTTTTTACTAGTTTTCTGGCCATTAATATAAATAGGACTTCATTATTCAATGTATGACCATTTTGACAAATTACTATTGAGATATATTTGAGAGGCTATTGTGCTTTTCACAGATTGTTCTTCTTAGAACATTCTAAACTTATCGAGATGATTCTTGTGGCGTTCAACACTGAGTGCGGATCACGTGTTGTGTAATCAACAGGTCATTCAAATTTCGTTTTT